AAATGTTGAGAGACTCTACAAGTATGAAGACATGAAGAAAGAGCTACAAAGTATCGAAGATTCAAAGCTAAAGTTGTATTTTATTTTTTATTGTAATTTTCTTTTCTAGGTTATTTTTCCGTATGTGTGCTTGGGGGTTTAACCAAATATTCATTGAGGTTAAGAAAGTTTTATGTGGATGGATTCAGAGGGATGCATAAAATGAGCATTGTTCAAAAAAAGTGGGCGAGTGTTTATCAAGATTGTGAGTATTTAGGGTTAGGGGGTCCTTAGGGAAAAAATTAGACACAAATGCATGCGTTGCGGTCTTGGCATAATGGTTCGGTTCGATTGGGATTGTCTTATGTGGTAATATATGCTAAAATTTAGTTTTGCTTGGGGGCAAACAAAAGTCAAGTGTGAGATATTTTGATATGGGCATATTTAGTTATAAAATTAATGCATTATCTTAATACTTTATGTTGTTTTTGTCTAAAATAATGAACAAAAAGTGCTTAATTAGTTTAAAATTTCATTTTCAACAACGAAGACATGCTTGGATGGAAAAGGAAGCGGATTTAGCAGTTAGAAGCTTGGAAATTGGATTTTGTAGATAGAAGGCAAAATTGAAGACGAACTCGTCGAGTTTGGGTCCTCCAACTCGACGAGTTGTAATGAAGATTCCCGATAAAATAGTGCCTTTCCATACACACGATTTAAGTAAAAAGCTCGGCGAGTTGGGTCCTAAAACTCGATGAGTTGCGCTGTTATTTCGAATCTATATATAGATTGTTTTTATTCGAAACCCTAAGGTTGGATGAAGACTTTTAGCGGCTTTTGGAGACCAGAGACATTCTCAAGAAGATTTGGAACTTAGAATCAGACTAGAGGCTAATTTTGAAAGAGATCAAAGGCATTTAACTATTACTTTTCTCTTACTTCTTTGTGTGATTCATGTTTGCAACATTGAATTTCGTTTCGATGTTGTTATTTTCTGAATTTATGAGGTAAAACTCCATACTTCTGTTTAGAATAGACGATCTTATGAATATGGTTTGATTAGTGGCTTTGGATTATATTGATTTGGTTATTTATCTTGTTGAGCTTGTTAAAAGATCCTTATGTGTTAATGATAATTATTTTCTGTTAATAACTAAGTTTATTGAGTTGTATGAACATCTTCTTGATTACTTGAATCTTATAGTTTTGTGAAAACAAGATTGTATGCATAGTGTTGTGAACATAACCTAGGGTTAACAAAAAAATAAGTAAATTTAATGTGTGATGACCAACCACATATGAGTTAATTGAACCAACCAATTTTATTAGCTACTATTACAAGTCTTACTTGATTCGAACTGAACACTAGGAAACCTATTAGTTTAATCACTTGATCACTGTTTGAATTAACTTGTTTCCTAAAGGATTAGTAATTGTGAACATGAACCTAATCACATTAGAAATCAGTAACTAATGATATATCAATCCATGGCACTTGCCATGAATCAACCATAGGAATAAGTGAATCGAATCTGAACGGAAGTCTCTTTAATCTTATTGAATCTAGTTGACTTTTGCTTCTCTTTTATTTGTTAATTGTTCTTTGCTAAGTGTTTAGTAATTGCTTAAGTTTCTAGTCTTGCAAAACTAGAGAAAAACACCCTTTTAAATATTGTTTTTATTTAGATAATATTAGTATTAATTTTAATTGTTTACCTTTCCCTGTGTTCGATACCCTACTTACCTGAACTAAACTGCTAATCGATAAATACACTGTCTTTCGTTTTTTTGCCTTTGTGTTTAAGTTAGTAGGATTAAAACTAGTACAATCTACACGTATGAACCATCCAGACCCTGGCGCGATCACATATGAAACTCAACCCGGGAAAATGCACTTTCAGAGGAGAAGAAGGCCAGTTCCTGGGATATTGGATAACTAATGTGGGGATTAAACCAAACCAAGTGAAAATTCAGGAACATATCGATTCCAAAACCCCACACAACATAAAGGGGTCCAAGAAATTAACGGGAGGTTGGCCGCGCTTGACATGTTTATTGCCAGATCGACCGAGAAAGCTCTACCACTTTAAATGGACGAAAGAAGCAGATGCAACTTTTCAATGCCTAAGGGAAGCCCTTTGCCGGTTTCCAATAATGGCGAGCCCCCTCCCAGGAGAAACCTTACAAATAAACCTCGCAACGGCCGATGAAACCATTTCATCTGTGTTAACGGTCAAAAGAAACAAGAAGCAGTTACCGATAGATTTCTTAAGCAGGGCATTACAAGGCCCCGAAATCAACTACCCAGTCTTGGAAAAACTAGTGTTAGCCCTAATTTACACATCCAGACGCATGCGGCGCTATTTTCAAGCACATAAAATCGAAGTGCTGACCAGCTTCCCAATAAAACAAGTCCTGCTAAGGCCCGAAAAGTCTAGACGTCTAGCGAAATGGGCGATAGAGTTGGACGAGCACGGCATAGATTAACGCCCCCAGAATAGTATGAAGGCGCAAGATCTAGCAGAGTTTTTGGTAGAAATTCCCGACGCACTTAGAGGAATACCATATGCCTTACCAGCAGATCCGCTAGAGCCTGACGCAAGCAAAGAAATATGGGAACTTCATACCGACAGCGCAGTAAGTAAGGAGGGCTCGGGTGTAGGCCTTATACTTAAAACCCTAAGGGAGACGAAATAACATACGGCTTGAGATTCAAATTTCAAGTTTCGAACAACGAGGCAGAGTACGAAGCGCTCCTTGCAGGCCTTCGATTGGCACAAGAAGTTAGTGCAAAACATCTCTGGGTTTTCAGCAATTTGTTACTGATAACCAACTAGGTTAATGGCACTTACGAAGCCAAAGATTGAAGAATGAAAAAATACTTAGAAAAGACATGAAAGTTGGCGCATTCGTTCAAAAGCTTCGAAATCAAAAAAATACCCAGGTGGGACAACACAAGGGCCGACGGTCTTAGTAAGCTGGTCTCGACGTCCTTTGACCACCTAACAAAGAAGGTACTAGTAGAGTTCCTGGGAGAAAGGAGCATCGACAGCAAGCGATTCGATGCCATCACAAAATTGTCGGACTGGACCAAGCCATACCTAGACTATCTTCATCACGGGGTCCATCTGGATGATCCGGAGGAGACCAAGCAGATAAAAATTAAGGCCCCCCAGTCGCCATAAAAGGCATGTAACTGTACAAGAGAGGCTACCTATTTCCTTGGCTCAGATACATCTCGCACGAGGAAGGCCAAGCTCTCCTAAAGGAGAGCCATTCGGGCGAAGTCGAAGCACACGAGGGAGCACGTGCACTCACAAGCAAGATACTATATTTAGAGGTGTATTGGCCCAACGCATACAAAGACGCGACGACTGTCATAAGGAAATATTCAGAATGCCAGACGTTCGCCCCGTTCCAGGACCAGCCTGCAGCAACCATAACCAACATCAATAGCCCATGGACCTTCCACTAATGGGGCATCGACATCGTGGGACCATTCCCGACGGCTCCAGGGGGATTGAAGTTCCTGCTGGTCAATGTCGGCTGCTTCACAAAGTGGATCAAGGTGGAACGCCTAGCCACAGTTACGGGCAGGGAGATGATCAAGTTCATGTGGAAAACCATCCTAATCCTGTTCGGTACCCCAGAGTCCTAATAAGCGACAATGACACATAATTCGAGGGAAGCCCCTTCAAATAATGGAGCGAGGAAAAGCGGATCCATCGTTGCTTTACCTCGGTCGCACACCCCTAGGCAAACAGCCAGGCTGAAGTATCAAACATGACCATCGTGAATGGACTCAAGAAACGCCTGATGAAAACTAAAGGGGACTGGACAGAAGAGTTACCAACAATACTATGGTCATACCGCTCCACCGCGAGGTCAGGAACAGGGGAGACACCCTTCATCCTAACATACGGAACGGAAGCGGTGCTCCCGCTTGAGATTTTGAGTGAATCGTTGAGGGTAACCACTTTCGATGAAGTCCTGAACAAGGACGAATGATGACAGGACCAGGACATGTTAGACGAGAAATACCATGCTGCTCGACTGCGACAAGCGGCCTACAAAGCCCGTACAGAAAACTTTTACATCAAACGGCTACACGTAAAGAACTTCAAGGTAGGAGAATGGGTGTTGAGGAAGAACGATGCTAGCCACTCGGAGCCATTGGGGAAGCTAAGTGTAACCTAGGAAGGACCCTACAGAATAGTGGGGGCGCATTGGGACAGAGCATACATGTTGGAAGCACAAGACGGGAGACCAATACCCCGAACATGGAACCCACGTAATTTGCGCCACTTGTACTCGTAGAAACAACTTGAAAATGGCATAACCAAAGGAGGGGGTAATGACACTCAGACCTCCGGCCTAAAAAGCCACACTTTGTTCAAAAAGGTTTTCATGAAGATGTTCAAGTTGTCCTTAGAACTTTCCGATTAATAAAGTTCTACGAGATAGTTTACTAACCTTACTACTCAATATACACACATGTGTATGTAAAGCATAAATACAAACACAAAGAACAAAACGGGTGGGGGGGGGGGGGGTACACGACCTTGCCAAACGACGACACTGGCTGATCACCGTCTGAGCAAAACAACCCAAAAAATGTAACTACAAACCTCAGAAAGAGATGATTCCCTTACGTATATATCGGTTTAAAAAAGCAATAAAGCCTCGAGGCTTTTAAACAAAACGTGACCAAAGGGTCCGAAAGATCATGACCTTCCCCTGACAATTAGGCACATACAAGTCCAGGGTGCCTCGAGGTGACCACCTCGGCTCACCTTAAGCGACCACCAAAGAAAGACAATTGGCCGCTCAGTTTAGAGCCAAAAGCAAGGCCTACAAAATACTCTTCGGGGAGACCCATACCCAAACATATATAGAAAATAAAGCTCGTAAGAACCGGCAAACAAAAGTGATGAAGAAACACCAAGAGTGAATACAACAAAATTCTACATAGTACATAAAAGGAGAGATAAAACAAGAAACATACTAAAATAAAATGTCAATTAACCCTGGCGAGGTTGAGTCGAAGCAGTACCGCCAACGCCACCGTCTGGAATGCGTTCCTCCTCTTCAGAGCACAATTGGAAAAGATCAACCAGGTCGAGCTCACCCAAACAGAGGTAGGAAGCGAAATCTGTCTCAGCAAAAGCTCTGACGATATCATGCATTTCATCAATAGATTGTGCCATAGCGTCCGGATCAGACGATCCAGGGCTATTACCAGCCGACCACATGCGTGCCACCTGCTTTCCCTTCTCTACACCAGCAGCCATACACGCGGCCTTCACACAACGAATCGCAAGTGAGAATTCACTGGTCTCAACAACACGATCCACCACCCGAACCACTCACTTCTATAGAACCCATGCTAAATTAGCCTCCAAGCTTTACCTCCTCGATACCTCATAGGTGAACTGACCGTCTCGCAGCGACAAATGCTCCACCAATGCTTCAACCTCCCCATATAGGGTCGCCACTTGAGCTTCCACAATAGTCTTTTCCCCTGAAAACACGAGGTAGCGCTCATCAAACTTGCGTCGCTCCTCTTCGAGAAGCCAAACCTTCTCTGCAAGCTCGTCACGCTCAAATTTAACAGTAGCCAGCTTTGCCAAATCAGCACCATGTAACGAAGACGACTAGCAGCCGCCACCAAGTAAGGAGCAACCTGAGCAGCGATATATTGAAGATCATTCGCCATGTGAGAAAAAGAAAGAGCATCAAGAGCCTCCAGGGTAGCCGGGGGAAACGCATGTCATCACCATTCAAGGGCAGGTCCCTGTTCCGACAAATGGGAACCGAGTGCGAGACTCCACCCAGGGAGATACACGCCAGTCACTCCCAAAGACGAAGGACCCACCACCGACAGGGCATCACCGGGAACAGAGGGAGGTACGGAGTAAGCACCCATAATGCCTGGCTCCCCCGGCCGACGCAAACCCGCTGTTTCCACCGCTTGCGGGTCATCAATATCGGCAATCTCGATAACAATAGGCGACTTAGAAAATAGAGGATCAATGTTGCTCTTCCGACGCAACCGTCGACTGATAGAACTACCACCGCCATCCTCCTCGAGGTCGGAATCCACAGTAGTAGACCGATGATGGGAGACAACTTTACCACTAGCCACACCTGATCCTCGGACTCCCGCCTCGATAGGAGGGACATCGTCCTTAAAATCAGAGCCAACTGTGGCGGAAGCCTACAACGTGTCCACTAGAGGGACTTCGTGATACTGTAGGTACCCTTTAAAATCCCCCCGTATCACTTTCTACAGAGACAGAAACCTCTCGCTACCTGCAACGGCAAACAACACAAAACCCCCTTTTTTTCTTGGCAGTAGATACCAGTTACCAAGCAAAGGAAAGCAAAAAGGGGGAGAAAGGGAGGGGAAAAGGTAACACTTACCGTCGTTGTCCACATAAAACTTGGTAGTAGATACCAGTTACCAAGCAAAGGAAAGCACTAATTCCGGCCGCTGCCAATACACAGTCCGGCCAGTCTTCGCCGTTGAAACAAATACCTCTTAATGTGCGAGCCACCGACAGACCGACCCGCGACAGTTGGGGAGCCCGATCCGAAGTCATAGGCACGCGAGGATAGTCAGCCGCAACCAATTCACTGTTAACCCACAACCATCGATCCGGCCAGTTCTTCCGAGGCGCTTTTTGGTTAACAATAAAGGAATGTGTATTACGGCGCTGAGAGAAAGTGTGAAGGCACGAATGAGTAGACGAATTGAAGAAATACTGGAATGCTTGAAGATGAGGAAGCACTCCCAACGCTCGACACACTAATTCAAACCTAACTATATTGTTCACAGCTTTCGGAGTCAGGTCATGGACAGAGAAACCGTATTATCGCATAACCTCATCAAACAAACCATAAACGGGAAGCCGAAACCCGTCCTCGAAGATTGCCACCGGAATACCCACCTTCCCGACCGATGCTTGATATATGGTAGACCCCTCCAATGGGAATTGAACACCATGCTCAGGCATAAACCCAAATCGGAATTGAAGAGACTCGAACTCCTCGGGCATAGGAACAACTCCAGATCTAGCAGAGGCCATCAAGAACCAGAGAGAAAAAATATGGGTAAAAGAAGAAATGACAATAGAGGATGGGACGGCAGATTACAATAAAAGGAAGTGTATAATTGCTTCTAAAAGCAGATAACCCTTAAATAACAAGAAAAAGGAAGAAATAGAAGAAGAAAAAACGGAACGAAGCGACACTCTATCACCATAAGGGCTCTATTATACGTCAGTGACCGTTCCCACCAAACGCCTGCCCAAATATAAGCTAGAACTACTCAGATACCCTAACCAAACACTAACATCTACTAGCCTAGGGGACTTCTTAACGTCTACCACCAAGAATACGTCATAAATAACGAAACCATCAGACGGTTTGAGCAAAGGTCGGAGTGCGCCTAACGCCGTGCCCCCACTCTTGCCATCGTCCTTGTGAACCCAAATTCATTCCTTGGCACCCAAGAGTAAAAGTTGTAGTCAAGAATAAATAGTACCACCCTTCCCCCTGAGTGACAGGCGTACCACTTAGAACGTCTCCCTTGGCAGCCCTGCACCAATGGTAGGCATCTACGCGTGGAGCATGATCTACCAATCAGAAGCCATCTGCCGCTGCCATACCTGAAAAAGTAGAAGATATGGTCGGGGTTCTGTCCCCCTGATTCCAGGTATAAAAGGATCTCTTCTCCTCCAAGAGAAGGGACCAACATTCAAATCTAACTCTTTGTCTCATACTTCGACACTCTCTCATCAGAACCCAGAACTGAGTTGATTGTCAGAGCATCGTTCCGGTTCAACCTCCCGGACGACGACTTAGGTTCTTGTTTTCTTTGTTGTGATTCTCAGGCCCCTTTTTTCCATCCCTCACAGAGCAGGGGTCGAGCCTGAAACATATCACAACAGTTTCTCATATAGAATATATATACAATATATATATATATATATATATATATATATATATATATATATATATATATAGGGAAAAGTGAATCTATGTTACAACCCCACACAAGCTTAGGTATGCAGTATAAGAAACGTTGTCGTTTTGAGCTAATTTCAACAATTAATAGCTTACTAATCCAAAACGTATATTATTTTATTTTCGTGATTGTATTTCGTGTGTCGTTTTGACTAAAAATAATGTCCGTCTCGCCCATTCTTCGTTAAGGTTGAACTCCCCCTTCTCATCATATTTCTGATTTTCCCACAAAATTACTAGTTGTTTCTCAGATAGCCGATTCTAAAATTTATGGATTTCTCTTAAAATTTGATTTCTGCACAAACTATCGGTTTAGAACCACAAATTCACTATTCGTCAGTTACAATATGTGTTTTTACTCCTCGATTCTTCTTATTTTTTGTTGTTGGTACCCTGATCGGCAACTATACTTTTTGGTATTTTAGTACAAGTTTTTTTTGAAACTTTATAAGTGGTGTAAAAGCTACTTTCTATTTCAAAATCTTGTTGTTTTTTTTGTTTATATTTTAGAAATAGTTTATTGACTTTCTTTTATTTGATGGTAAATGTTTGATATGAATGCATATAAGGTGTTTGAGAAAATATCCACTAGGACGGAACAATTAGATTTGTTTTGGAAGGCCATAGTTTTCACTCATATATGTGGTTACAAATAGCAGGTGAAATCAATAAGTAATTTTCTTATTTATACACTTTATCTAATTATATATGTATTATGACCATACTTAGATATATATATATTTTTTCAACTTATTAAGCTACTATTGGTAACTACATTGTCTGGTATGCAACAAAAGGATATAAAAGTTGGTTCATGTGCTACTCCCCTGTTAGTTATCATTTTCAAGTGAGGTTACTTTAAATTCTAAATAAACCATTCTGATTTTTGTATCATTAAATGCATGTTTATTTCTTTTTCTGGATATGTATGTTTGTTCCTACAGCCTCTATTGGTTATCAGTCCTATCATGTGTAACATCCACAACCTATCATATTATTCATGTCATTTCAGGTTGCTGCAAACTATCCAACAATAGTTCCACCTAGACAAGTATTTGACGGTTTATATGCTCACTATCAAGCATGAGCTTCAACGGAACTGATGATTTCTCACCGTGTCCAGAATTTGTTTTGTAGGGTTTGTATGTGTTAAGTGTGTTCAAAATTAGAAGTTGTTGATAGTCATTAGCACAAAATTGTATATTGAAAAACATGGATTTATATACCGTATCATTAATTATTTTTCCGACCATGTATTTACATGTTATTAATAATATCAATGTATTTGCATTATGATTAGCTTGGCTAATGGTTCATGTATTTATACCAATGAACTTTTGGTAAACCTTCTTTGAGGTTTTCTTATGCATAGAATAGGAAGTAATTGTAAGGGGACTGTTTGACTTTTATGTTTTTTTTAAGTCAAGGGCATTATACTCCTTCTAGAGTAAGTTTACTTTGAGGAGAAACTGTCCTCTTGAATGACAACCATAGATTTTAACAGTGATTTTACTCTAATCTGTAACAACCCAAAAATTTCAACAAATTTAAACCTTTCAAAAGTGACCCATTTATTAATAAAAGTGCTTACAAACTATTATTTCCAAAACATTATTCAAAATCAAAGCCTCGCAATATCCAATCAGTTGTAAAACCAAGGATGTGTACGGTTACGCCTTCGTCGTGCCACTGACAACTGAGATACCTGAAAACATAAACCAAACTGTAAGCACAAAGCATAGTGAGTTCCCCCAAAATACCACCACACAAACAGATAACATAGAAAACAACAACATGCATACAGAGCCTTCAGCCTAACTGGAATGCCCCAACGGCCTACAGTCCATCTGGTACACTCATAGAGCCTTCGCTTGACTGGAATGTCCCACCGGCCTACAGTCTATCTGGTACACTCACAGAACCTTCAACATGACTGGTATGCCACATCGGGCCTTCAGCTTATCTGGAATGTTCTTTGGGTCTTCAGCCTGACTTGTACGCCACTCAAGCCTACAATCTATCCGGGACGCCTTGGGTCTCTTGTTCTTCAGCACAAAGCAGGAACGCCTCAACCCCATATTCCATAACATATCAACATATACCATATCAAACCCTAGCTAGCATATACAGACAGTCATACTGATCTAACAAATCACATAGCATCATCCTATATACTAGGATACAGATCAAACATATCAATGCAACATACAATCATGCGATAAATCAGGATAACAATCCAAAGGGCCGACCGTGGTGCCTTCGACCCATAAGTACAGTGAGGAACACTCACCTCACAAACCGGACAAAAGCTGATGAGGTCCCGACTCCAAATCCCAACTCTTAAACCAACACCTACTCCAACCAAAAGACCAAACACAATCAAACTTGCTAAAATACCCTTAAGGTCCAACTTGGTCAAACTTTGTGAAAGTAAAAGTCAAAGTAAATTGGTCAAGGTCCAAAAGTCAATATCTCTTCCCAGCGGAGTACACCCTGCAGACCAAGAGAGTACACCCATCATATTCTAATGTTGACCAAAAGTGTGGAGCTGACCGTGTGCGCGTAGCGTACCACCAGGTATGCCCAGCGTACGCAACCCAGTCCCAAAACTCCATTAAAAGCTTATTCTGTTATGTTCTTACATCCGAAACTCATATCTAAGCCTAAAATTATGTCCTAAGTCGTAAAGTTTCCAACTTTAGGACTTTGCATGGCTATAAAGTGCTTAATGTCTGAAACCCTTAGTTCTTAACCCAATAAGACATCACAGCTCTTGCATGAAAGGGATAGAAGGGCCAAGATCACATTTTTATAGTTCATAATAGCTTTATAATGGATAAAGTTTCCAACTTTATCCATTAGAATGCTCCCAACAAACAAGATCTAGTCTTTAGGTCTCAAAAGGACCCAAAAGTTCATATTTTTCAACTTAATCCATTAATTACAAGTCTCCAACTTTCAGATCTGAATAAAAATGATGTTTATATGGATAAAGTTTCCAACTTTATCCATAACAAGGTCACAAACTTTGAAGATCTAAACTTTATGCACTAAAATGACCAAAAGCTCATAACATCCAAAACTAGTTAGATTTAACAAATGCATCATCAAGATTCAAACTTTATACCTCCAGAAGATAGATCAAGGTGAAAAAAGTCCAAATCTACAAGATCCAATGCAACCAACACTTCTACAAGAAGTTACTTCTTCTCTAAAACACCTTCTTTTAGCACATAAGGCTCAACTAGGGTTAGGGTTTCATGGAAGGGGTGTTGGAAGGGTGGAGGCTGAGAATGGAGTGGGTTTGGGGGAGTTAAAGAGCTTAAATAGGGATCAAACCACGAAAATAGGGTTTGGGCACTGATTACGTATGCCCAACGTACTCAGGGTGCCTTAGTACGCCCCTCTAT